TAACAAATGCAGACAGACCGACTTTGCTAGGAAGAGATTTCTTGCGTGCATTTGGATTCGAGTTAGTTCAAAATAAATCTTTTTCAATGAGAGGCGTTAATTTTGTGAATTCATATGATGAAATTATAACACAAGTTAAAAACGAATTTTCTGAAGTTTTCAAGACTGGTTTGGGCCGATACAAGTTAGGAACCGTAAGTCTAAAATTAGATAAGGGAGCAAGTCCAATATTTTGCAAACCACGTGCTGTTCCCTTAGCCTGGAAAAAGTTAGAGCTTCAAATAAATGAACTCGTGAAAAGTGGCATTTTAATTCCCGTAGATCATTCTGATTGGGGTACACCTTTGGTCCCAGTTATCAAACCTAATGGTCAATTAAGGGTGTGTGGGGACTATAAAACCACAATTAATAGGTTCTTATCTGATTTCAAATATCCGTTGCCAAGGATTGATCAAATTTTTGCCTCTATGCAAGGTGGACAAATCTTCACCAAACTCGATTTATCCAATGCATACAACCTGCTTGTTTTAGATGAAGAATCACAAAAGCTTTGCACGTGGAGCACTCACAAAGGAGTTTTCAAAATGACTCGATTGCCTTTTGGAGTAAAACCCGCTGCTTCAATATTTCAAAAAACTCTTGATTGTCTATTAAGTGAATTCGAAAAAGTATTGGCTTATCAGGATGATATTGTAGTCACTGGTCCAAACTTTGTAGATCATTTAAAATTACTTAAGAAAGTTTTATGTAAGCTTCAAGATGCAGGACTTAAATTAAATATCGATAAATGTGAATTTTTTAAAGATAAAATTTCCTATTTAGGATTCGACATCGACAAAAATGGGTTAAGCAAAAATAAAGAAAGGATTAAGAGCTTGTTGGATTCACCAACTCCCACTAATGTCAGTGAGTTGAAAGCATTCATAGGGATGGCTAATTATCATTCTTTGTTAATACAAAATTTTGCAAATAAAATGGAACCTTTGTATAAGCTGTTAAAAAAGGATGCACAATTCGACTGGAATAGGTAGTGTGAAAAAGCTTTTAGTAATATAAAGCAAGAAATATGTTCAGATCGTGTTTTAATACATTTTGATCCCAAATTACCTGTAGTTTTATCAACTGATGCTAGCAATTCAGCAGTAGCCGGTGTACTTTCTCATATTTGTTCAGACGGCAATTTGCGACCAATAGCTTTCGTTTCCAGAGCGTTGAATGATGCCGAGAAAAGATATAGCACAATAGAAAAGGAGGCTTTAGCTATTGTATATAGTGTGACGAAATTGAAACAATATGTATTTGCCTTTCATTTACGCACAGATCATAAGCCCTTGTTAACTATATTTGGTGAATATAAAAGTATTCCTATAATGGCTGCGTCTCGGATGCAAAGGTGGGCGTTAATCTTGTCAGGCTTTAATTATAGAATTGAATACGCAAAGGGAACATTAAATAATGCCGATGGTTTATCACGCATGTCACAATCAACAATTGGTGAAACTGATCAAGATCCTAGCTATATTAGTTACGTAGGTTTTGTAAATGCGTTGCAATTAGATTATAAAGATGTTGCAAAAGAATCTCGCCGAGATCCGGTACTGTCAAAAGTAATTGATGGTGTTCAAAATGGCACAGTATCTCAGTTAAAAAGTAAAGAGTTTGAACCCTTTCGTTTAAAAGCACTTGAGCTAACTGTAGAATCGGGTTGTCTTTTGTGGGGATACAGAACTGTAATTCCCTTGAAATTCCAAAAAACTGTATTGGGTATATTACACGAGTCTCATTTAGGCATTGTAAAGACAAAAATGCTAGCGCGTTCATACATATGGTGGCCTAATATAGACAAAGATATAGAAGCGTTAGTTAAGGAATGTGTTTCTTGTCAAAGGACACAGGAAAACCCTGAAAAGAGCCCACTAATTCCATGGGTACCAACCGAATCAGCTTGGAAGCGAATACATATAGACTTTTGTGGCCCGATTAATTCATTTTACTTGTTCATAGTCATAGATTCTTTTTCTAAATGGGTAGAGGTTTTCAAAACTAAGGAAATAACTTCATCTTTCATCTGTAGATCATCTGTAGATTCGGATTATTCGATACGTTGGTTAGTGATAACGGTAGGCAATTCACATCGTCAGAATTTAAGAATTTCACAAAGAAAATTTGTATAACCCATATTTTTACGGCACCTGGCCATCCAGCCACAAACGGTCAAGCCGAAAACTTTGTAAAAGCGTTAAAAAAGTCATTGTACGCTAATCTATCATCCAATGATAAAATCGAATTTGATACTGCTTTACATCGCTTTCTCTTTGATTATCGCATCTCTAAACATTGTACTACAAATGAGTCATCGGCTAAGTTATTATTAGGTAGAGAATTAAAGTCTCGTTTCAACTTATTAAAACCACCAATTACGAAAGCCATAATTGAAGCAAAGCAACATTCAATGATTGCAAATTTTAGAGGCAAACGAAATATTAAGCTTTCACACGGGCAGAAGGTTTATGTAAGAACTTACAAGAATCCGAACAAAGCAAGTTGGTCGCCTGCAGTTGTCAAAAAATGTTTTGGCCCAAGAAGTTATAGTTGTTTGTTGACTCACGAAAATCGCGAAATAAAACGACATATCGATCAAATAAGACCTCGTGAGGAGCAACAATTGAATGAAATTGTGAAGAACGAACTGATCGAGCCTGGATCGCAGTCACAAGCTGTTGCTTCCACCT